TTCATCTATCGTTTATTTAATGACGCAGGATAATAAAAGAATAACAGCTCGTACACCGCAGTGTATGTTGCAGGTCTGACCAAGAGGTTTAGATACAGTCACATATTTGTACTGTAATTTTTACGAGTTAGTTACAGAGTACATGTTAGTAAATCATCTCAGCACTGAGCTCAGGAGAGGAGAAAGGAGAATCACAATGTTATCATATCACCTGTAGAAAGCAAAGCAGTTTTCTCACACACACAAATGTATCGTACAAATGGTCATCACACACAGATCAACATTTACACACTAAATACTTCAAAAACTCCTCAAAGAAATAACTCACAGTGCTCTTTATTCATAAATTCTGCTGCTAACACTCCAGACTGCAGACAGGACTGGATACACTTGTCATGGAGAGCTTTGGCCCGCTCTGGTGGTTAAAAGAGAAACTAGAAGTGTTTTATATCAAACATATCACACTGTACATACTGTATATATATCTCAGTATATTTATATTCATGGAGTTAGATGCTGACCTACATTTTGTTTAATCTACTTTTTACTATTTGTCATCCTGGAATCAAATGAGAGAAATGTTCAGTCTAGGTTCAATCCTGTTTTGAAACTAAAACCTGGTCACTCTTTAAACTCTTCAGGAGTCAGAAAGCACCCGGTTCCCCTCCCACCTCATTCCTCCTCAAAGAAAGCAGATATTTACATTCATTTACACGAGGCATGGGACAATATGAAAATGATTTCATTCAAACTGCAATACACAATATAAATATTCTTCATACTTTTAAAATGTCTTCAAAACATACTAGAATCACTTAACCTACATTTTGTAGAGAAACACATGTTTATTTTATCACAGACAGGAACCTCATCTCCCTGTTTTTTATTTGGGAATCTACACTATTTCCACATATCCAGTTGAACCTTTATTTGTGGGATACAACGGGCAAACCAAGCCTTCAGCCATGGTGACAGGATTAGGATTTTGGAATGACTGGAAAGATGTGGGCTCCCTCTTGTCCCCTTATTCAAAATAAATCATGAAGTCAATATAGGACTGTATATATATATATATAGAGTGAACATATAAATACAAACACATGGAAGATAAAACAACAGGGAAAGAATAAATTAAAAGAGAGACGGCTAAAGATAAGTAAAGAAACAAGAAGGAGATCTATATATCTAAGACCTACAGGGGAGGGTTTTGAGGAGCTGTTCAAAACAGTCCATCTACTCAGATAATCTGAGTGTTTGGGGAAGATGATTCCATAATGTTGGAGCTAAAACAGCAAAGGTCACCTTTAGTTTTGCAGTTAGAGTGGGGAATTAAAAAAGACCTAGATTTGAGGAGCGAAGTAGCTGAGGAGAGGAATGAGGAACAAGGAGAAATGTAACTGGGGGGCAAGGTCATGAAGTGCCTTATATGTAATCAGTAAGATCTTATAGTTGATAATAAAATTCACTGGAAGCCAATGGAGGGATGCAAGAACAGGAGTAATCTCGGACCGAAGGCTGGTTCTGGGTCAAAGTCTGGTGGCTGCATTTTGTAATAACTGTAATCGATTTAACGAAGCTTGTCTGAGTGTAGAGGGAGTTACAGTAATCTAGATGGGAGAAAACGAAGCTGTGAATTAATGGTTTGAGATCTCTGGAAGACAAGAAGCTTCTGATTTTTGCAATATTTCATAGCTGCAGAAAACAAGTTTAGTAACATGATATTTGATAATGTGATATATTGTCCCATCCCTAATTTACAACACGACTACAACATCAAAATTAACTACTAAAAGTAGTTAGTAGTAGTAGAAGGTGTAGTAGTAAAAGAAGCAATACCAGTGTGAAAACATGTAAAAGTCCTGCATTCAAAATCTTAAAAGTAGAAAAGTATGGCATTGAAACATTCTTAGTGTACTGAAAGTGAAAGTGCAGCCTGTTTCAGAATAATATACATCATATTAATGGATTTTGACAATTGTGTAGTAGTAGTAGTAGAGCCTTTGTTTTTTCCCAGTCAGCTGTCTAATTCATAGACCAACAAATTAAATTGATTACGTTTGCATTAGGATTTAAGTTATATAACATGACTCAACCTACACTGAACACTATTATGACCATCAGCTACTTATGTAATGTTACGTTTGCAATATGTGGGGGCTCGTTCAGGTTTGAAAAAATATTGGTAAACAGATTTATTGTATCTGTTAGTTCTGGTGTTAACGTTAATATAGACTGATGACTGTCGCAGGAGGTATTAGTCTGGATGTCCACTGCCAAGCCTTTATCAAGCATTAAACAGCTTCCTCGGTTAGAAAAGATGCTAGCGTCCTTTCCATCAGGCACTTGTTTATTATTTTGCCTTTGTTTTGTTTCTCAAGTTCCCCGATGGAGGTAGGCTTTTTTCGAGGATCCAGCCACCAAACCTCTGCCTTTCAAGCTGCCTCGAGCCCAGCACGCTCCAGAAGATAAAGAGGTATACTATCCGTTAGGCAGGATCTGGGGAAGGTGTTGTTGTAAGGCTGGGCTCGGTGTGTGATTATTATTGCATGTGACATCCGACATTCATGTTATTATGTTTTACTACAGACGGATGAAGATAAAAGGCTTCATAGTGGTTCCATGTAAAAGTTTGTTGCAATATGGAAACTAAAATGAGTTCCAGTTGCACCAACGGTACTTAAAGATATAACATTATTCCTTTACAATGATGACCTGGCCAAGAGCACCACTGCACCAAGACGAATTCCTCGTATGTGCAAAAACCTACCTGCCAATAAATCTGATTCTGATTCTGAAGAGGCAGCGACAGGAGGAAAGTCGATACAGCAATTAAAACGCAGATACAGATAAGATTTAAGTAACTGTGATCCTGTACAGACTCTACTGAATGTGTCTCTAACAGGAGGAGACTCTCCTTCCTACAGAGAACACAGGGACAGTGAGGCAGAAGGCCAGACTGCGAACCCAGGATAAAGAGGTTCAGTGAATGTGCTGTTGAAGGTGTGGAGGTGGATCAGTGTGTCAGAGGAGATTCTGTAGAAGGACAGAGTGCCAGAAGGACAGTCCACATACACTGCTACTCTGTTAGAGACAGAGGAGGAGGAAACAGATGTTCCTCTGTTATTGTGAAAGACAATGTAACCATCATCAGAACAACTCAGCCTCCAGGACTGATCATTCTCTCCAAACCTGCATTCAGCTCTACTTCCACTCCTCCTGATTCCTCTGTAACTCACTGCTATATAAACCCCTCCACTCCACTCCACCTCCCAGTAACAGCGACCAGTCAGAACATTTGTACACAGCAGCTGAGAACACCGGGCAAATCTGTCTGGATGATCAGGATATGGTTGATCCTCCTTCACATGAATCATCTCCCTGTTGTTGTCAGACAGTTTGATCTTTCTGTTCACTGTGTTTGTGTCGACTGTGAGTTCACAGGAATCTGATGGAGAGAACAAGACACAATACAGCTGCAGTTATTGGTCTATCATCTGATCATTGATTGACACTTTGATGATGACATCAGAGCTGTGAATGAGTGATGTCACAGTGTGAAGATGGTTGAATGTGTGCTGCTTTGTTTTCACACTTACACTTCCTCAGACCTGGTCTCAACCATCGGACTCCAGCAGTCTCCACCCTGAAAGGAGGAGGGGGGTCAGAGCAGCACATCCTCTTTCAGCATGCAAACATTACATCACTTGCACTTATACGTTTACATGTATGGCAAAACAAAAACCTAATAATATCAGCTGATATTTGTGCTACGTATGAGTTTTGGACCATTGTCTGACTGTCTGTGGCTGCAGCAGGCCTCTTCCTACCTGAGAGTGTCCAGTCTCCACTGTGGATGCTCCAGTGCAGCAGACAACATCTTCACTCCTGAGTCTCCTGGATGATTGTAGCTCAGGTCCAGCTCTCTCAGATGGGAGGGGTTGGAGCTCAGAGCTGAGGCCAGAGAAGCACAACCTTCCTCTGTGATCAGACAGCCTGACAGCCTGCAAACACACAAATTCATTGAGAACACAGACTTAAGATCCTAAAAAGAAATTCTAGTATTTAGAATCCTGACATGAGAGATGCCGTTCAAAGGACCAGTGTGGAGGAGCTAGTGTTGAAGGTGGAGATTAAAACCAACTGAATCCCGAGTTTGTTCGGTTGGTCTTTTCTGGCAACTGTACAAACACAGCGGTTCCTCATGGTGGATTTGCTCCTGAAGAGCTCATTCTAAGGTAATGAAAACTCAATTACTTGTATTTTCAGGTGCTTATACACTAATGAAAACATACTTATTAATATTATATTAAATTTCTGCCAATAGATCTTCTTAAATGTTACGCACAGGACCTTTGTTCCTAGTATACATTATAATTTAGGGAAATATCTCAAGTCGTTCAAGAAAAAAATTACTTGTTCTGACCTGAGAGTTTCCAGTGTACAATGTGGACTCTTCAGTCCAGCAGAAAGAAGCTTCACTCCTGAATCCTGGAGGTTGTTGTCACTCAGGTCCAGCTCTCTCAGACTAGAGGACTGGGAGCTGAGAACTGAGGACAGAGCTTCACAGCTTCTCTCTGAGAGGTTACAGCCACTCAGTCTGGAGAGACAACAGTAAAGTTAAAACAAAAGTACTAATTATTCTTTCCTCCTGTTTATTTAAAATATTTTCAATAGAAGCAAATATCTACGTGCTTACAGAGCTTTGTTGGAAGCTTTGACCACTGGCAGCAGCCTCAGAAGAGCCTCCTCTGAAGCACAGTATTTCTTCAGGTCAAACATGTCCAGATCTTTTTCTGACAGTAAGATGAAGACCAGAGCTGACCACTGAGCAGGAGACAGTTTATCTGTGGAGAGACTTCCTGAATTCAGGGACTGTTGGATCTCATCGACAAGAGAAGGATCATTCAGTTCATTCAGACAGTGAAACAGATTGATGGTTCTCTCTGGATGCGGGTTGTCCTCAATTTTCTTCTTGATGTACTGGACTATATCCTGATTGG